GCTGTATAATTTTTGAATGGAATGTACATTAATTTTTAGTTTTATAATTAACACAATTATTCAAGATGATGAATTTCACTTGGAGCACTAATTGTCTTTGATGTTATTAGTTCTAAAGAGTGGTGTTTTATCTATGTTTTTGATTTATTAAGTTTTGTTATTTATAATTGTATTTTCTTGTTAAGAATAGTTTAATAAAAAGTATTAATAAATTAATTTCTATGTGGGAGGATATTATGTCTTTAGTTTTGTTATTAATCAAGGGAGATTTTTGACATTATTATTAAAATGTTTTGCTAACTTTAATTTTTGAAATGTTAAAAAGAAATTTTAACAAGCCAATATGTGGTTGTGTTTATTAATGTTCCATGAATATACATAGGGAGACTGTATTTTCTATTTTTGAGATTTTCAGTTGTATTTTGGGTAATCATTTTTATTTTCACACTTTTAATAACTAAATCTTACAATGTGGTCAATTTCCATCGATCTGTGTGTTTATTGTGTGTGCATAGGCCCTATAATAGAATGATTTTTGTGGCTTTTATATTTATACTTTATATAATAATATCACAAAGAGGTTACTGTATAAAAACATGCTTTTCTCCTTTCACTAACCTAAAGTAAAGATTGATACATTAATTTATCCTCCTCTTCCCTCGATTTTCTCTCCTCCTGTTTCCCATTTCCCATTTTAGCTTTCTTGGCTCTTTAAAATATTTGTGAGTCTACACTTGACTTAGCTGTGATAGAAAATGTAAACAATGAACTGACTCAGTCTTCTAACTTTTTTCCTTTTCCTTGACACTTTGTGTTATTTTATATTTTCAAACATCTACTTCCCTTTTTGAAACCTAACCTTGCTTGTGTTTTACTATTAGTCTCACATGAAAACATCTTTCAAATGTCCAATACCAGTTACTCTATAGATGGTTCCCCCAGGTAGCTTTTTTGGCTGGAGTTTATCTTCAAATGTCCATCTTTATAAGCGATCATGCAGGAAATAATTCCTTAATTTCTAGCAGGATTTCTCCTTTATGTTGCTCTGTTTTCTTTAGGCATTACATATTTTTGGGAGAAATTTGACCAGCCTGATGATTTATCCTTCTCTTCACAATACACACGCAATTCTTAACATATTTGCACTTCATGCTTGCCCTAGGGTCATTATATTCTTTCATGTGACATTACAATTTTAATACGCATCTAAAGCAACAAACATTAAAGTAGTCGTAGAGAGTCAGTGTTTAATAGAATGGCTAAATTAGTGAATCTACAGACAAATATTTTGGAAGTTTTATCCAGAAATACAAAATGAATCTTTACAAATCAAAACCATTATAACTTAACCCATAAGTTGAAATATAGCATATGCATAGTATTTGCATATATACACACATTTCTATATTTTAAATCATTCTCTTATTGCCTATAATAATGCTACAGGGCAAATGCTATATAAACATTTTTTATTATTTTATTTAGGGGAATAAAGACCACAAAAATATGACCCTACATGTCCAGTATAGATGCAATAGTTTTCAATTTTTTTTTCAATGTATGTTTGAGTCCAGAGATTAAGAACCCACAGATACGGAAACTGAATTATTATTGCTTTTCTCATTTAGTAGTGTGAGTACCTTTAACATGTCATTAATACTTTCCAAAGTACTTCCTTATTATATACCTAAAATATATTGGAAAGACCATCTCCTCTGACCTTACAATTACTCAGTGTTTAGTTAAACATAATGCTACATCTATATTTTGTTACATTAAGGTGAATATTTCCATACTTTTTCTCCCTTATTTGTCTATACTGTTATTCAGAGATCATCTGTCTGGATTTGATGCTTTAATAAGCTATAATTCATCAGATTTTTGAAAAGTGACTTGCATTCTTTCAGCCGTGACTCATTAGTTACATACTGCCAACCAGCTACTGTCCTAACTTTGGTGTAAAGGAATGAATGGATCAAAGCCAGAGTGCTCTGTAGTAAAAACTGGCTCTGTGTGACATGTGACATCATTTTGTCAAGATTAACACTTGCTATTAGATCACAGATGCATTGACATATTGATGCCTGGGACTGTTCTTGGTCACAGAATCAGCTTGGCCCAGGCTTACCTTCCCTTCCTCCAACTCCCTGCTGTAACCTCACCAGAAGTGACTCCAGAGCTTTTTACAGGACAAATATAATCTCAGCCACAGCAAAATTCTAGGTGAGCTTTTGTCTGTGCTCAGTTCAACCTCCTAACTTTCTTAGTGGGATAGGTCTCAAAACTACTGCCAAATAAATTTGCCAGTCTCTCTTCATACCAAAGTCTCATATGAAGGTGTCCATTCTAAGATCAGCTGCATGTCACTTGAACTCTACTTAAAGAACAAATTGACAAACAAATGGCAAATCACTGGTAGTGATATGTTAAGATTAATAATTAAACATTTCCATGAACAGGAAGAAAAATATGTGTATGCATGTATTTTTATTTATACATGTGTCTGTTTTATGTATATATTTTAGATATTGAAACATATATACATAGAAATACTAAAGCTTTTATAATCAACCAAGTGTTAATGACTTATTTAATGATCTGAGCTAAACAGATATTACACACCTCTATAAAATAAAAAGAGTCAAATTAAAAAAACACTCTATTCTAGGTTTCTAGTTTGGAAATGTCTAGTGACAGAGATAAAACATCCTGCCAACATGGGAAACCACATAACGGTCCTCTAATAAAGTAGTGATAGCATAATTTATGTTAGAACAAAGCTGAAAGGGATGAAAGTCTTCATCTATGGGGGTTAGTATTCCCTAGATCACATTAAACTTTGATGGTAGCTCCTAGATGCATGTGCATCGCAGACAGGCTCTGTGTCTTCGATTGCTCAGCCTACCAAGTTCACACACAGGACAAGCGTTCCACACGGGATATACCATGCCCCTAGCAGAACTAAGTGAGCTAAGTGCTTTACCTGTAAAGGGGAATGCATGTGAGCCGTAACTATAAATAGATATGGCCCATCACCTTCTTGAATTTAGTTTCTTTTTGAATAACTGAAACTATAAACTAGTTGGAATTCAGTGAGCACATATTCCACAACAGTTACAGGGTTCTTAAAACCTAGCAATTCCGACACAAATGCATGGAGTCATTTCTTCACTGACATTTCAAGAAGGTGGTGCATTTCCAACAATTTTATTTCCTGGTAGGATTCCAAAGGCCTCTTAAAATTTTTTACTAGCCTGTATTCATTCCCCAAACATTACTACTCTGTAGATATTTAGATAAGTTCAATATTTATAAAGTCAAATTTTTACTATTTTAAAATACTTTCTTTTGAAGAAGAAGAAAAAAGAAAAATCACAGGGCTCTACTAGTGAAACTGATGTTGTAAAGCTACAATTTATTCATTTTTCTTTTAATATGATTAAAATATTGGCAGGTAAAGTAGTAATTGGAGGATACTTTCAGATGGCATATTTATATGCTTAAGGGAAAGGGCCACTGTTAAGCACACAGAGAATCATAAAGATGTTATAATTACAAGTGACATATTTTCATTAAAGTTATATCCAAAAATCATTTCTTTGTAATGCTAACTTCGAGTTACTACTCCTGTTATAATGTAATGAAAAGATTTTACTGCACACATTAGAGAATTCATATATGTTGATAAATCATATTGGTCTGCTCCCCAGTTAACAAAATCTGTGAGTCATTCCTTCTCTCTGCCCTCATTAACAGTGCTGAAGTTATCTGTTAACTGAGTTTAAAATAATCTGTAGTAATAATAGAAGTGCTCATAGATTTATACTAATCTTCAGAACTCACGTTAAGAATACACCTGGATAGACTTACATAACCAAGGTGTATGAAGCCTATCATATCTTTGGTTCTAACAAATCCATGAATTTTCTTGTACTTCTCCAGCTAATACAGTTATGGCGTCCTCCCTTTAAAAAAGGTAGTAGCAAATATCGTGAATAGGTTTACAATAAATTAAAAGTATAAATAATTTATTTATTCTTCATGAAATCTTCTTTGATTGATATGAAATTTAGTATCAAAAGTGCAGCTTCAAACACCTTTACTGTTTTATCTAGTTTTACACTAAAATGAGAGGCACAGAGGCTTGTTGAATTGCTCCAAAGTCCACTCAGCTGGAGCCTTGGGTCATCTGGGGTTAGATGACAGTAGAAGCTTGGAAAACATCTCTTTGAGGAACATAATCCTGCCTCCTTCATGGTGACACTCCTGTGGAGATTCATTAAGCATGCAATTAACAAAAGTGCAGTAACAAACTAAAACACACTCTCTTTTATTTAAGTAGAAAAACTCAATGACCTTCTGCATTTTAAAGAAGGGGATAGTTTTGAAGAAGACACATAGATAAACACTTTGCTTTGTTAAAGAAATTGCTTTAGAAATCATTATTTGTAATATTACAAGTTTCTGTTATACATTTGGAAACCAGCTATTCCAGTAGAGCCAGAACTGTATTGTTTCATGACTGGTTTTTAAAATAATGTGCCATGTATTTTCCATACACCTCACTGCCGTCTTTATGAACATCAGAATATTTCCAGACTCTATTATTAATCTCTCCATGAGATCAGATCAGTTTGTAACTGAATGACTTCACTGCATTTCCTATATTTCTTCAGATATATTGTTTTCTATTTCCCATCACTCAGATTCATTGCAATTTTTTCAGTCTCACCTGTGACCTGCTACTTTCCTCCTTCTGATTCTATTTTTGCTTTAAACTTGCAGTCCTTTGCAGAGATCCACCTTCCTTCTCTGTGTTTATCAATCATGTGTCTCTATAATGTGCACAGAAATATTCACACTGATTTTTAATAACATCAAAAGAGACATTTATTTTTAATTTAATTTATTTTAAATTTTAATTTATTTTAAAGATTTCATATTAATAAAATATAAATACATGTTTTACTTTATGAATCATAGGAAAAATTACCTGTGAAACAACTTCAAGAAGACAAATTAATGCATTTCTAGTAGAAAATTCTATAATTAAAAATGCAATTCAACCTGAATTTATTTGAGTAAAAATGTGAAATAAACATAGTTGTTTTGATAGAATGATTAGACATTACTGGCTCTAGTATTTCATTCTACATTTGTTCTCCCAGCTGTGTCGTTCCAGGCTCCTCTAGGACCCTGGTCTAGGTGGACTCCTGGAGTGTTCCTTGTCCTTGAATAGAGAATTCCAAATCACTGCATCTGGACAGCTTTTACAGCCTAGTACATTAATTTTCTTTCCCAAGAACTTCAGAAAAGAGATCATAATTTAATATTTTTTTCTGTGGAAAGAATATTTATTGCTCAGATGGTCTGCCTGTGCAATTCAGTCAAGGGTCTTCTTTCTTGTTGGCAAGTCGCCAGATAGGCCAGGCAGTGTCCAGGCATTGGTGGGAGGGTGACGTGGGAAAGCAGCTTCTGTTCTAGGAGAGTGAGGAGAGACAGATGCGTTCACAAAGCAAAGTCTTTCGTGTACTGCAGAAGTCTCTTTAGTAGACTGCTTGAAGCTATCTGAAATTACTGCAAAAGGAAAAATATTAGCATTCTAGAATACTAAAGTACCCAGAAAGTATATAAGTAAAAACATTAAAATTGATCCTGAAGTAATTAAAGAACCTGAATTAAACCCAGAGGTAATTTTGTCAAGTTATCAATGGATAGAGAGGTGAAATGTAGTTATGTAGTATGAACTGAAAATATTCATATAAGAATGAGACTGTGGGGATTTCTAATTATCTGAAAAGGCAGAGCTACTGGCTGCAAAGTAGAATTTCTGGTTAGTGTATAAATAGATATGAGTTATTATTTATTGTTCCATCTTTGCGTCAATGAGGTAACTTGGTTAAGACTTCAATCTGAGAGAGGTCATAGTCTACTGACAAAGGATTATCTTTGCTTACTTTTCACTTCTATTTCTTTCCGCTAAGTATTCCCAGCCTTCCCAGACTGATTATACAGCCCATGCTCAAGTGGTTGAACATCTTACTCAAAATTTTGCCAAAGTCATTTACATCCCTCAGGCTAAATACCTATAGCCAAATTTGCAAATTTTTACAATACTGGATCTTTTCCAATTATCCACAAATTCTCTGTAAAGCACAAGTAGGTAATTTGCTATTTTCTAATTGGTCAGTTGCGGTCAGAAGTACCTGGTATGTGACTTTTGCACTTTAAAGAAAACTCTGATGAGCTTTCAGAATATAGTTTCTTTGCATCAGAAAGCATAGGTGTTTCAATTTCTTTTATTTTAAAAATGCAGCAAAGAGGAAAGTTTGTAAGCCATAAGAGTATAGTTTAGTAATTATGGAAAAGTAAACACATCTGTATGAATGCTATACAGATTGGAAAATGAAATTTAACTGGTTTAAAAGAAGATTGCCTCAGAGCCCGGGATTTAGCTCAGTGACAGAAGTGTCTATTTGTCAACAGCAAGGTTGTGAGATCGGTCCTTGATACCAAGGATTGCCTCATTGCCTCATTCCCAACCCAAGCATTAGCCTCAAAAACTATTATTTTTAATGTGCATCAATTTTTCTATCTTCATTATACATGACAAATGAAGCAGTATCCTATAAGGAATTTTCATAAACAAATTTCTATCCCTAAGATTTATATGTATTATCTCATGAATGTAGTTTTCATTGTATACTGTTCTTAATATGTAAAACAGCTTTTGATGGACTGTTATATTACTGCTACTTTGGGTTATCATCAGTAATGCTGTTCCGCATCATTTTGCTTGTATTTTTATTTCATGTAATTAGTGCTCATCCAGAACATATACATTCAAATATATTAGGAGATTATTCAGTATACAGATATTTTGGAAGACTATGTAGGCCAATTTATTTAACCTTCATTTGTGGGATAAACTGGTAAAATGACTATTTTCTATTGCGTACACTTCTGCGTTCAACTAGTTTATAGTTTTTTTTTTTTTTTTAAGAAATGATGGGAAAATTTAGACTATGAAGAATTTTTTCAAAGCTGTATGTTTTAATAGCATGAATTTTCTGAATCATAAAATAATTTGGGAATTGTTTGCAGTTTTTTTATCAACTGGAATATGCTGTTTAATATTGATATTCTTTCCTAAATGTTAAGAAATCACTAATGAATTTTTTTGTGACTAAATTTTACAGAGAGAATGTCAGCATGTAAGAGAGCAAAAAAATAGTGTATAAACTCATGAATTAAACAGTTAACTTCATTGTAAATGAAAAGAGAAAGATGCTGGAGGAATAAAAAGAAAACAAATGGATATGGAGAAAGCTAGACTGGATGAATAGTCAAATAAACCATTAATATTCCTTTAAGCCGAAACAATAATCCTTAGTAATGCTCAAATAGTATCTTCAATCTTAAGAAGCTTGAGAGGGATGCGGAAACTGAACAACAAAAATCTGAAGCCTGCAGATATAGGTTTGTACATATTAAGGAAAGAAGCTATTTCTAACAAGATGCAAGATGAAGGCCTAAGTGCAGATGTAGAAACAACATCAAGGTATCTGGAAGATTTAGCTAAGCTCATAGATAAAGGTGACTTCACTGAATAACCAAGTTTCCAGATAGATAAGACAGACTAAGGGTGCAAACAGAGGCAAAGCCACATAGCATTTCCATAGTCAGAGAAGAGAAGTCAATGCTTCAAAAGACAGGTAGACAGTCTTGTTAATGCTAATCAAGATGTTGAGTTTCAGATAACGCCAATTCTCACTCAGTATTCTGAGAAATGATAACCCTTAGGTCTATACTGAATCTATGTTGTGTCTACTCTAAAAATGGAAAAACAAAGCTTAAAAGACTAAACATCTATTTACAACATAGATTGCTGAATCTTGATTATCAATGTACTTGCTCACTTGAGAATTTGATGGAGATGTGCAATGGAGTGCAATGGGGTGCAGTTTTGTTTTGTCTTTTATCAGTGAACATAAATCCATTTTGCAAGTCACAGACCAAGAAGGATTTTGACTTTGAAGTATCATTATCTAAAAGTACATTATGTAAGGCTAGAACAGCCATAGTGATTTTTTTAATGGATCTGGGCAGGTAAATTGAAAACTTTCTGGGAAAAAAATCTCATCAATCTAAATGCCAGTAAGAACATCTGTGATTCACTGAAAGAGGTCAAAAGTCAACATCAACAGGAGTTTGGAAGAAGTCAATCCAGTCCTCACGAATGATTTTCAAAGTTTCATGGCTTCAGTGAATTTAGTAATTGCAAATGTGGTAGAAGGAGCAAGACAAATAGAAAAGGAATGGAGCTAAAGATGATTCTTAAGTGTTACAGTCTCATATTAAACATCAGTGAACAGACAGTTATGTACTACGTTCAAGCTATTTATTGTAGTTATTAATTTTCTCCTTTGTCGGTTTGAATATGATGTTAAATAAGCTAACTTCCAAGGAAATAATTCTCTCTTTGGTTGCTTTTAATTTGTATAGTTCATTTAGATAAAACATTTTCGTTATTATAGCCTTCAATTTCAATATTTTTACGTTTTAACACACACACACACACACACACACACACACACACATATAATAGCATTCTCCAAAACTTCATGTTGTGTGTGTATTTTTTTTTACCTTTTAAACAATTATTTTAAAGTTCATAACTAATGAAAATGTGTCTATTTCTATGGCTTTTATTTTTTTTGTTTCTATTTCTATGTTAGCTTCCTTTTTTTCCTAATTCTCAACTTAGTATATATAAAGCACTATAGGGATCAAGGATATCTTAAATTTTACAGCTTTAGAGAGTATATACTTTTCTTTAAAATCTTAATTAAATCTGTAATTGAAAGAATTCCTGAATGATTGAAACCTGACACACTTCTAATTTCTTTCGGTTATCTGAACTAAAAACCAAGGGGAAGGCCCAAGTCTTTATTGTCTCTGAGGAACATTTCAATTCTTTTTTATTATTTCCTTTTACCTATCAAAATTTTTTCTGTACACTTTTTTACTCATTACCTGCTGTTCTCTGGATTTTAATAAGAACGAGTATCAAGCATTTCCTCCTTGATGATATCTGACAGTCTCAAGTTTTGCTCCTTGTATGTGTTTTGAAGTTATCATGGAGCTACATTTAAATTCACGTCATCCAAGTATTATACTTTGTGAAATCATATATCTAATAAAAATTGGAGCACAGCCTTCTAGACACAAAAATTTTTAAAAATCATTCTTTTTAATTTGCAGTTTATCTTAATGAGGTTTAATATTAATACTTTTTTACATCAATGTCCTGCACTAGTATATGTGAAAAGTACAGAAAAAAAGAAAAAAATTAGAGATTAAATAGTTGAAAAACACCTACTATATAATGAATCTTTGAAATAAACAAATGTACTTACAGCCCATAATTATTCCTCAGAGCAACCACACATTCAACATAGGATTCAAGCAATTATAAATAATTTCTTTTTTGGGTGGCGAAGGAATCCACAACCTTGTGCTTCCCAGGCAGACACTTATGCCACTGAGCTAAATCCCTGGCTCTAGATTTTTTTTTTTTTCTAGTGCTACTTTGAAAAGGTAAGTGGCCTTCTCAGAAATTGTGAAATATATTTCAAGGAAAATATTATTGAACAATGGAAGAAAAAACAGACTTCTATGAAAGAAAATTTCACCTTGTATTACAAGAGTAAATGTGCATGAATCGTAGCTTTTGGCCAGAAACCATAATTACAGACTTTTTGTTACAGTTTCTTTCCATAGTTATACCTCCTCTCTTGATAGCAATGTCCTAAAAAATAAATACGTTTTACCTTTTCATAAGTAGGAAAAAATTAAAAGGAAAGTAGAGGGATGGGGAAGAAAAGCTAGGAAAAAAAGAAAAAAATGGAAGAAGGAAGGAAACAAAAAAAAGAAGAAGGGAAAAGGAAGAACAATTAAGATGAAAGTATCAAAGAAAAAAGAAACAAAGGAGGAAAGATAAAAAAGAAAAAGAGAAGGAAGTTAAAAGGAAAGAAGGCAGATATGAAGAACAATGATAGAATGAAAAAGTATGAAAGAAAGAAAGAATGAAAGAAAGGAAGAAAGAACAAAAGATTGGTCTTATCTTTAGAGTCCTCAGTATGATTTCATTCATGGAAATGACATTCATTTAACCTTCATCACAGGCTTCACTAGTTTGTTCCACTCATCATGTGTCTTACTTCTCCAAATGAAGCTTTGTACCACATACTAGAATAGTGGTGAGAATGTGGAATAAGTAAAGAAAACTACACCAGAATTACAAAGGATAAAAATATATCTGGGTAACCAAATAAAGATCAAATTACTGTAAAAATACAGGAAAGGTACATGCCAGTCCAGGTAGGACCAGCAGCAGTAGGTCGTCCCAGTGCCTGTGGACACACTGACAGTGGGGACTACTGGTGTGAAAAAGATCAATGCAGCAGCAAGAAAAAGAGCCAGCAGTTGTTAAGCGAGGTGACCCAGCACTGTGATCTGGCACACAATCACACAGTGCAGGATGTGGTGAGGACACCATCCTGTATCAAAGGGCT